CATATGATAATAGTCTTTCTCTGACTTATTTCGCTTAGCATAATACCTTCTAGTTCTATCCACATTGTTGCAAATGGCAAGATTTCATTTTTTGATGGCTGCATAATGTTCTCATTGTATATATATATATATAATATATATATGTATGTATGTATATATATGTATATACACCACATTTTCTTTATCCATTCATCTGTCGATGGACATCTAGGCTCTTTCCACAGTTTGGCTATTGTGGACATTGCTGCTATAAATGTTGGGGTGCACGTGCCCCTTCAGATCACTAAATTTGTATCTTTGGGGTAAATACCCAGTAGTGCAATTGCTGGGTCACAGGGTAGCTCTGTTTTCAACTTGAGGAACCTCCATACTGTTTTCCTGACACCACGGGCTGTTCTTTAAAAAGAACTGTTTGAATGAAAGTAACTAATGATGCTGGGTGATGGTTACGTGGAGGTTTATCATATCCTTCCTTCTCTGGAAAAGAAAGTAACACTTTAAGACTTAGTGATACAGGAAATGCATAAACATATATATATTTTTTAAAGTTATATGGGGTGCAAAATGTGAAAACTCAATCATCCTCATACCTACCTGTCTAATCCCTAGAGGATAATACAGGTGACAGTCCGGAGTGTATGTTTCCTTTTATATGTATTTTTATATATGTCCATATGCACATATTTTCACATAGGTATTGTGCACACATACAAGTGTTTCTTCAGACTCCATTAAGGAATTACTGGGTCAAACGGTACATGTATTTACAAATTCTCGAGGCTCCATGAATTTTCGCTCACCAATTTTGTGCTGTATGATTTGGGATGAGGCCAGAAATCCTTTTTGGAAACAGGTGGGATATAAATAATAAATTAATACTTTGTAAAAACAACCCTCAGCCAGGGAGAGTGGTGACTTGGGTACTAGGGAAATATACCAGCTCTCAGTCCCAGACCACAAGGCATGCCTGCAGCCCCAGCCTGACCTGCTGATTTGATGCATGCCACCGTTAGGAGGCACTAGGAAGGAGGACTGAATTTCCCAGTCTTTGCAGAAAAAAGCCCTCTAATGTCTTGCTTACCTTGGCTGCACCAGCTCCAGGCCCCACCTGCCTGGCCTGATTTGAGGCAGACTGCCTGGCTACCCTTGGGGCTGCCCTGGAAAACAGCTCCTATCATCTCTTACAGCGAGGAAAACAACCAGCTGAAGGAGAGGGACTTGCAGAGTCTGGGGTTGGGATGAAGGGAAGGCCATCCTTTCCATGCTGGTCTTCACCTGTCTAGCCCAGGGAAACCTTGGGGTTACTATTTAATGCGGTAGATCTCTGTTGTCCTCGTTCCCCCAAACACAGTGTTAGTTTATGTACTTTCCGAAAAATTTTTAAAAGAGCCTTTTGATATGCCTTAGGAAGATTTGGTGAAGAGAAGCAGAGGCAGATTGGAGTTTATAGCCCTTATTTTTCCTACTCTTTCCATATATATAAATACATATACCATATTATTATATATACGTATTATTTCTGTGTGTGTTTTCTAAAGACAGCTTTTTCCTTTTAATCACAATTCATAGGTGGTGACCTGAGAGTACCGGCCCTAACTAACTCCCTTATATGGCAGTTTTTATTTAACTTTCTTTTGAGCAGAAAAAAGTGATCAAGTGTGAAGTTGCTTTTAAATTTTAAGAGAAGGCTACTTTGGCTTTGTATTTTCTTCCAGACAGAGATCCTAAGATATATATATATTTTTTAATATACAAGCAACCCGTGATCACATGCCTGCTGTGATAAAACAGTGCATAAGCAGCTCTCGTGTCTTTCCAATACTCTCCTCAGAGGGAACCATGGTTAACACTTCAGTGCATTTCCAGACCTCTTCCTTTGCAGTTACAAATACAAATCCATATATTCACATCCTTTTTATTTTATTTTATTTATTTTTTTTAAAGATTTTATTTATTTGAGAGAGAGAATGAGATAAGAGAGAGAGATCATGGGGGTCAGAGGGAGAAGCAGACTCCCCGTTGAGCAGGGAGCCTGCTGCGGGACTCGATCCCGGGACTCCAGGATCATGGCCTGAGCCGAAGGCAGTCGCTTAACCAACTGAGCCACCCAGGCGCCCCACATCCTTTTTATTTTAAAATGAATGGTATTCTGTGGCTTGTTCCCCCCCCCCCCCAGCTTAATATATCTTTAAACTCTCTCTATACTGGTACATATAGATGGATCTCATTCTTTTTAACAGCTGCATAACATGAATGGGTGCAACTGTAATTTATTGTAATTTTTCAGTGTTACAAATGGTCCTGTGGTAAACATCTTTGTGCTAAAGGATCTGGAGTTGCAGGTAAGGGGGGTAATACATTTGTTATAATCCCTAGAAAGAAAAGCGGGGATCCAGGTAACTAGTCCTGGTGTTCTGAGAACGAAGGTTTAGTGAGTAAGTGATTGTGGGAAATGGCTGCATGCTGAGCCTCCCTCCTGGTGATTCACAATTAAGTAGCATATTAAAAGTTCTGGAAATTCTTCAGTAACCACTCACTGCTGAGTGGTTTAAAAAGAGTTGTTTGCGAAGGGAAGGACCTTAATTCTTTGTACACATCTATTAAATTTTTCCTGAACTGGGCACCTGGGTGGCTCAGTCAGTTAAGCGTCTGTCTTAGGCTCAGGTCATGATCCCAGGGTCCTGTGATTGTGTCCCACATTAGGCGCCTGCTGAGCAGAGAGTCTGCTTCTCCCTGTACCCCTCCCTCTACTTGTGATCTCTCTCTCTCTCAAATAAGTAAAATCTTTAAAAATAAATAAATAAATAAAATTTTCCTGAACAGTTTTGTAAATGCCACCCAGTTGTAATCTCTCAAAGATAGGGCAGCATTTAGATAGGAACTCAGCCACATACTGTTCAAATAGGCTGGGCAGCTGGGGTGGAGTCAGGTTTGGATTTTGTCCAGGAACCAGGCTAGGCCTGGCAGCTCCTCCCAAGCCCCTTCCATAAGGTGAAGAGGGACCCAGGAAGGCCTGGCATAAACCAAGTCTTGAGGCTGATTGTGGGGAGAGGGGTGGAGTTTCACTGGTCTAAGTCTGGCTGAGAAGTGATATCAGACCCAGCAGACACAGTACAACAGTGGGACCCAGGCCTCTAACACAGAAGATTGTTGACCCAGAATCCCTAGAGAAGGAGCCACTTGGGGTGTGAGGGGGCAGCCTTAACCCACCCCCCCCCCCCCCCCCCCCCCCCCCTGGCCCACCTCCTCCACTTAGTGAAATCATGATTAACTGCCCCGGTTCTTACCTCTGTGAAGCCTCTTCCGATCCGGCCAGACCACTCCTGTGTGTGCTGGTAGCACCATTGCTGTACCTCTGTTAGAGCAGTTGGCAGTCTGGCTGGTCTTCTAGTTCATTCATGCTGGTCAAGAGGAAGGGCCACATAATGAATTATGTACTTCACAGTCTTCCCCAACAAAGGGGGAGCTCCTTTATTATGGGGCATGCCTTCACTCATTCCGTCATTATTGAGCACCGACCGAGTCAGGCATTAGCTCTGCTGCCAGAATACAGTAGTGAATAAGGTGGACCTAATCCCTGTCTTGGTTCATATTCTTACATTTCCTGTAATCTAGCCCGATGTCTAGTTCAAAGCTTGGCACAGTAGGGTTTAGAAATGGTAATCTAATTGGGAAAGCTGCTTTTGCATAGCGAGCACTTGTTTTAACTTATGTGCTACAGATTAGAAAACATTTCCTCAAGATGCCTTGCTTAGTTTATATGACAGAAAGTCATTTATGTGAAATATTCTAAAGACATTTGGAGTGACCTTGGGAGCCTGATGGAGTCTGGGTGGTTGGCACCCCCGGCCACCCCTAGGGCTCACACCTGGCTGGGACCGAGCTGGCAGAGCACGCGGCTGGCCGCTGCCCGCAGGCCCCGCCCCCCGCCCCGCCCCGCCCCCAGGCACCACCCCGGACCCCGCCCCCGCTCTCCATAGTTACGGCGCTGTGGAGGCGGCGGCCATCTTGGCGGCGGAGCGATGAGCGGGTCCAACCCGAAGGCTGCGGCCGCTGGGTCGGCGGCTGGGCCTGGGGGGCTGGTGGCCGGCAAGGAAGAGAAGAAGAAGGCGGGCGGCGGCGTGCTGAACCGACTCAAGGCGCGGCGGCAGGCGCCCCACCACGCGGCAGAGGATGGCATCGGGGCGGCGGTCACGGAGCAGGAGCTGCTGGCTCTGGACACCATCCGGCCCGAGCACGTCCTGCGCCTCAGCCGGGTCACCGAGAGTGAGTGCCGGCCCGACTGCGCCCCTGCCCTCGCCCCGGGCCCCTTATCGCCTTCAGCGGAGCCGGCCGCTCGCCGCCTGACCGGCCCGGGGGTCCACCCAGGCCCCCTCGGCCGGTCAGGCCGCGTCGCCCGCCGCTGTGCCGGGCCGGCTCTGCGCTCCCCACCCTCAGCCAGACCTGGTTGGGAAGGGGTTCTCCTTGAGCTTGACCGCGCTCACCTGTGTCCGGCCGCGCCAGGCTCCTCCTGGGCGGCCCCAGCTGGAACTCCAGGCTGGGCCGTTCTCCTCCTCAGCTGGATCCGTTTGGGTAGGGAGCCCCTTTAGCTTAACCGGAACCTCCTGACCCTGGTTAAATAGGACCGCTGCCCCCTCGTCCTGGAAGACCCACGGGTATCAGTGAAGTTCCTGCTCAGCCAGGCTCCCTCAACCTGCCCCCTCCCAGCCTCTGCAGTCTCTGCCCGCCCAGACCCCTACCTGCTTTCTCTGCCTTTCCCTCCACTCCGTCCCCTGACAGCCCCCTCTCCAGCCTGCCTTGGCCCCCTTACTCCTTTGGTCCCAAGCCTTGCCCCTTTTGTGTGCAGGAGGGCCCTTCCTTCCTCAAACATATTGCCGTGGCGTTTTATGCAAATTTAAAACTGCCACTTTAGAAGATATGTTAATAAAGTTTCAGTTTATGTACACAGTCTAAAATGTGAATCTCGCTTTTGACACCTGTTCTAGTGAATTAAGAATGTGTCAGTGTTTAAGAAATGCATTTCTTGCGTAAAATGCAACCATCCTACAAGGTTTCATTGATAATAAGGAAGGGTGGGAAGAAATACATTGCCCACCCCCTGTCTTGGTTCTTCTCCCTTTTTATATTCTCTTCCAAGCCAAGCCCTGACTTGCCACCCTTTCTCTTGCTGCTATTTTCCCCTCTCCCAGGTTAGACCCTGCTTGCCCTGCCCATCCTGCGGCCCTCCAGACTTCTAACCCTGCGACACCAGCACTCCCTCCGTGGATCTAAGGCTGCCACAGCGTTACCTGCTGAATTGCTTTAGCTGTCAGCCTGGGGCTGCTCAGGTGTACCTCAGGTAGCTGGTGGCAGCTCCAGTAATTTGGGGGCGGGGGTTTAGACAGTGGGCCTTGGTCCAGCCTGTATGAAAAGGAATTCCCATCTCCTGATAGGTTTAACTTGATTCTTGATATTTCAGTGTCCCCCCTTTCCATTGGGTTGGGCCTGTCCTTTGCGTGCCTGAGTATTATCTATAGAAGGTCTTGCTATTCAGTTTATTGAAACATTGTGAAAACGCTGCTTCTGTTCTATCCCCGTTTTCATTTGGGGCTCTGAAGGTCCAGAAGTGCGCATCACCTGAGCTTTCTAGCCTCCTGCTTTCTCCTGATACCAAGGGTGAATCAGGCCATTCTAATGCCTGGCCCTTAGCGGCATTCTCAGTGGGCACTCAGGTCATGTGTAGGAGCTTGGGATTGGTGCTCTTGCTCAAACTCACCCCAGTAGCCTACTGGAGAAAGCCACAGGTCAGAGCGTGGTGACCTCTGGATTTTGTTCAAGTCTGTTCCGTTCAGCAAGTTATTTATTGAATACCCTTGAAAGGTGCAGAAGCCATCTCAGTCTTTTTAGGATTTACAAAGTAATCAGCGGGTCTCAAGTTTGCCATATTACTGGAGAGACAGCTTGTAAAACATGGAACAACTAACACAAGCAGACAGTGTAAGAAAAAGTGCTCAAATGAGTTGTGGAGAAGAAGATGCTATCAGGAGTCACATCGTAAAAAGAAATCAGGGAAGTTTCCTATGATCAGTACCATATTGACCAACTGCTCAGGTTGTCACGGGCTCCACTTCACTTTGGCCCAGTGCCCTCCCAGCAGATCTGCCCTGTCACCTGTGTAGGTATGGTCCACCGCCTGATTTTGTACAGTCCGCAAGCTAAGAATGGTTTTTACATTTTTAAATAGTTGAGGGAAAAAAAATGTCGGCACACATGGTTATATGCAATTCATATTCCAGTGTCTGTAAATAGTTTTATTGGACTACATTTATATGCAGGTTGTCTGCGACTGCTTTTTGCCACAGAGAGAGTTGAGTAGTTGTGACAGAGACAGTGTGGCCCCAAAGTCTAAATTATTTATGATGTGGCCCTTTACAGAAAACATTTGCTGATCTCTGCTGTGCGATACCCATGGCCGGCAAACAGGCACTATATTGGCCATTAGATCAGCATAAATGTTTTGTTTTATTTATTTATTTGTTTATTTTTAAAGTATTCTTTTAAAAAATTTTTTTTAAAGACTTTATTTATTTATTTGACAGAGAGAGACATAGCGAGAGAGGGAACACAAGCAGGGGGAGTAGGAGAGGGAGAAGCAGGCTTCCCCGTGGGGAAGGGAGCCCGACGTAAGGCTCGATCCCAGGACCCTGGGATCACGACCTGAGCCGAAGGCAGACGCTTAACGACTGAGCCACCCAGGCGCCCCAGCATAAATGTTTTAAAATGGATTTGTAAAAAAAATTCTGTTGTGACATCAAGTTAATAGATCATGGAAGCTTTGTAGGCCATTTTGGGGTTGTTTCTAAAGCAAGCCCCTGATACTATCCCTGTTTCTAAAAGTGTTAATCTTTCATCCCATCCAAATCCATGGTCTTGTTTTCTTTCTTCAATCCCCTTATTCTTCTCACACAACTTTTGCTTGCAACATAAGAGGAAGTTTTTGGTGTATTTTAAGTGAATTGTGTAAGAAGAAAAACCCTGAGTTTGCTTCAAAACTTGACAAAGAAAGAAATGGTAGTTTTGGAGGATTACTAAACAGCATTTGTCTTTCTCTCTCTCTCTTATTTTCAGATTATTTATGTAAACCCGAAGATAACATCTACAGTATTGATTTCACTCGTTTCAAAATTCGAGACTTGGAGACAGGGACAGTGCTCTTTGAGATTGCCAAACCCTGTGTTTCAGGTAGGCCTCAGTATTGTCGCAGCCACTTGAGAAGGTCTCCGAGGCTCCCGTTTGTGTGAGCCGTTGCATCCTGTGGCTTGTACTCCAGCATGTCCGTGCAGTGCCTCCTCCTGAAACCTGGCCTGCCTGGCGTACTGGTCGGAAGGTGCACTGAGAGGCTGGTATTTGTTGAGTATCTACCCTCTGCTGATTGTACATGTGTTTCTGTTTGCATCAGGTCCTATAATCCTCACATTTCTGGGAGGAGTTATTATTCCCATTTTACAGATAAGGAAACTGAGACCCAGAATTTCCAGGTACTTTCCTAAGGTTCTGTGCTCGTTCATCTTACCATGTTGCCTCCACTTAGGATAGGAAGCCTTGGAATTAAAGGAGAATGAGGAAAGCTCCCCTGAGCCTTGTGTCCTGGGAACACTGGAAGGGGTGATGCTGAGGGTCCCGGTCTGGGCTCCCCTGTCTTCTCCCTCGCTTTCCTTTAAACAGTGCCTCCTATTTCCCTGTAAGTCCTAGTTTGGATTTTAATCTTCACCATTTTCTGGATGAACAGAAAGCCCCGACCTATGAACTACTTGGGATTCCTTAAATTAGCTTTGAATAGATACTTCCCGTGCTTGTGATGCAGCCCCAGGGTGACTCATTCCTGGCCAGGGGACCACATGTCAGTCTTGGAGCTCATCACCGGAGACGGAGCGCCCTCTGGCATTAGTTTTTAGAACACCAGTGCGATGACTGCAGAGCATTCACTGAGGTCTGTATTAATAATTCTTTTTGCAAAGCTCTTCTCATCTGATTCGCTGCTCAGAAGAGCCTGTAAATTTGGTAAGGCAGATATTAGTATCCCAGGTAGGTTGAAAGGCTTTCCTGAGAAGGTCTCAGCTCAGGTTCGTTGTACAGCCAAGGCTGGAGCCCTAGTCTTCTCACCCCATCCGGCATCCTTTGTGCTCTAATAATCTAGGGCTGACCAAGGCACCTAACGGCTCCAGCCTGTGGGTGCTTAGCTGGTGTTGGGAGGATCAGGGCCAGCCAGCTTCCTGGGTCTGTGGCATTCACATCCCTAAGTGACCCGTCCCAGTACTTCAGATGTTTTGTGGACCCCAGGGCTGCTTCAGATATGTGGATTTGGATTAGGCTGGGCCCATAGTAGTCATTTCAGTACAAAATTGAACTATCTCAAGAAGGTCAGCTGCAGATCCTGTAAAAATACCTTGATTTTCAACTTCTCCAGTCTTTACCTTTAAGGATCTTGATTCACTTAGAATATGCTCCCACTGAATCAGTACCTTCCTGCTGCTCTTGTTCTGATGAATTTGAATTCCTGAGAAGATTTGGTCTGATTCTCTCTGAATCACATTGTTGGAGCAAGGACTCTCCAGTGGCTGGCTCTGAACCCCTGCTCAGTCTGGTTGCCCATATGCTCTTGGGGTTGTCATTGGCGGAGATGTCTGGGGCTAAAAAAGACATCAGTTGCACCCATATTCAGCCTATACCTGGAGAAAATATTTTTGCTGGACACTGGATGGGTACTAGTGGGAACTACCTTGTTTTTCACATTAGAGTGGTTCTTTGATTCATTTTACAGAACTTCCACTTTCTGGGTTCAGGAATGGACTAGACTGGCTCTCATTCAGGTCCCACACGTTGGCCCATTGCCCATCTATCTGCCTCACTGTTTCCCAGTTGGTCAGTGTTGGACCTGGCGTGGCCTGGAATAGGCATTACGGTACCCCAAGACTGTAGGCCGGTATCTTCCATTTAAATAACAAGGTTATTTCTAGGAGTTATCTTTGCTGCCTATCAGAAATTTTTGCATTCTTTGAACTGGCCTTTTGACTAGTTTCAACCTTTGTAGTCTCATTCTTCTGGTTGGCGGCTAGGACTGCAGCCTCGTCACCAGCAGACATGTCTGTATGCTCTCGACCATGCCAGGGGCCTAGCACCTGGCTTATATTTCAGGCCGGTTCTCTTAGGATATGGCCCAAGCCCTTAAACTACATAAAAGGTAAATAGCTTAGTGTTTGAGAACAAGCTTTGAGTCCCTGGGTTCAAATCCTTTCTTCCCCCATTTACTATTTGGGGGACTTTGGACATGTGACTTAATGTCTCTGAGCTTCTGCGTCCTGATCTGTAACATGGAGATGGTGATGACACCCCCCAGGGTTACTCTGAGGATTCTGGGGAGTGATCAGCACAAGGCCTGGTATGTAGCAAATGTGCAGTCGACATTGACCATCCTGCTGTGGGTGTTAGTACCATTCACCGGTTGTGCTGTTGGGACCGGTGGTGCCAAGACAGTGCACTCGAGATGCTGTGTGCTCACTCTTTCAGACCAAGAGGAGGAGGACGACGACGAAGGTGGGGACGCGGATATCAGTGCAGGACGTTTTGTCCGCTATCAGTTCACACCAGCCTTTCTCCGCCTCCGGACAGTCGGAGCAACGTGAGTACCAGTATTTCTGGAGGGGAGAACACTCTTTGTCCACAAAGAATGTTCTTGGTTGGGTTCTGGATTGACTTTAGAGGAGGGAGGAGGCCAAGTAGGGCTCACAGAGGTTTATTTTGCAGAGTGGAGTTCACAGTGGGAGACAAACCTGTGTCAAACTTCCGGATGATCGAGCGGCACTATTTCCGGGAACGCTTGCTGAAGAACTTTGACTTCGATTTCGGCTTCTGCATCCCCAGCAGTAGAAACACTTGTGAACATATCTATGAGTTTCCCCAGCTTTCTGAGGATGTCAGTATGTATCCCCTGACTTCTGTACCATTCTAGATTCTTAGGGCTAGAAGGAACAAACCTTGGAGTCCATCTGGTCCAACGCCCTCATCTGGCAGAGGAGGGAGGTGGTGACATGATGCCTTTGTAGGCATTTGACCTCAGGCTTCTCATTTCCTAGTGCTCCTCTCTAGGGTTCCAAACTCTGCCTGTCTGGGAGCATCAAAGGTTTTAATAATGCAGGCCGTCTGCTTTAGGTGCCTGCTGCGGGAAAGGGGGTGACTGAAGGAGAGGCGGGGAGGCCCATGATGATCCCTGGGCCTAGGGTTAGCTGGAGTGCCTCTCTGAGCCGCTTTGGTTTTCCACTATGTTCTGGTCATTGGCTCCTGCCCGGCACTCCTTAGTCAGAGGGAGAAGTGAAGCTGGGGACCAACTAGAATCAGAAGTCTTTCTCATCCTCTGCTGTCAGACTAGATCCACAGGAAAAAGGGAATTGTTACAGAGTTTGGAGCAGCAGGGGTGGCCGGATGGAAGCCATGTCTTAGGAAGAGTAATCCTATAGTTCTGAGGAGGAAGAACTCAGGAGGCCCCAGAGGGAGAAGCCGAGGCAGGGGAAGAGGTGGACTGATCGAAAGAAAGAACAGGATTTATCAGTTCCTGGGACTCTGGTGACGCTCTCTTGGGTTAGCATTCCCTGTTGGTAACCAGGGAAAATGGCTCCAGAACAATGAGAATGTGAGCGGGATCCTGTGAATAGTGAATAGTCGGGGGAGTTTGGCTGAGTTGTAGGGAAGGACCTACATACACTGGTTTTCTCAGAATCCCAGGTCCTTAAAACTGTTAAGATTCCAAAAACCAGAATATTCTCCACTCACATTGACAGTGCTGTTTCCAGGTAAAATGAGGATTGCTGATGTGGGGCAGGCTGTTGATGACGGCCTCTGATCCCGCTCCCCAAGCTGGGCCAGAATAGGTAGATACTTGCAGGAAAGGATTATGTATAGTATTTCAAGTTTTTACCCAAGGCAATAGAACTTTTCTTCTTGAAACCAAATAAGCTGAAGGAGTGTGGAGGTCAATATTCTGGATATAAACCAAATAACTACGGCCCAAGTGGGTTCAAAGGACTTGAAACAATTCGTTTCATCTTTTGAGAACTGTGGTAAACAAGCGCATTTCCTCCAGAGGAGCCAAAATAGCATGTGATCATTAACTCAAAACCGATCAGAGGCTGTGGCTGTTAATTATCTTGACTGTCTAGTGTGGCTAAAGAGGTCTGGGCAGTTGCCTGAGCAAACAGAAGATTTAAATCTGGATCCCAAGACAAGCAGATCTTTTGCTGGATCATTTGCGACCTAATACCCCGAGCCATGCCTGTGAAAGCCTCCTCGCCCTTTGTCCCCCTGCACTCATGCATTCCTAGGCTTCCTTTGGTTGTCAGGGATGCCCATGGGGAGTGGGCACAGTGAGGCACAGCTTTTGGAATTTGGGCCAGAGTGTCTAGAGATGGGGAACAGACCAGAAGTACTGAATAAATAGTCTTCAGTGGTCCATGTTGGCAAAAGGGTAATCCTGTTTCCCTGGGGTTCTGATTAAGGGCTGGAGATGCCCAAGTAGTGCCATGTCAGAGTTGATTACATCCTTATGTTGAAGTGGGTATTGTGTTTAATTTGGGGGCCTCTGGTTCTCTCCAGCTCTCCAAGCCTACCCCCCCTCTGTTCTGACCTCATTATTCTGGCAGAGTACACTCACACGTTCTGGAGGGCTGGCTTATGAATTACAGAGGGGATACTACGTTTTTCCCCACCTAGCCCAGGGGGCAGACTCACACATATGTCTTTCCTGTTTCCCTTTCTCTGACTTGCAGTTCGTCTGATGATTGAAAATCCCTATGAGACCCGTTCTGACAGTTTCTACTTTGTTGACAACAAGCTGATAATGCACAACAAGGCTGACTATGCCTATAATGGAGGCCAGTGACTGCTGCAGGAGTGGACGGGGAGGTGCTTTGCTGTGGCCCAAGGTCCTGGCACATGGAGGTGGTTGAACCTGCTGTTCGTCCACACACATCTGGAGCCTCATCCCGGGAAGCCAAGGCTGGCGTGGTAGTTTCCTGTGCTCAAGAGAGGTGCCAAGCAGTGCTGTGTTTTCTTCCCCAGTATTTTTTCTTCCCTTTTCCCTGCCCCGTAGGTCGCAGAGGTACTAGAGTAAAGTAAAGGATTAGGGTCAGGTTCCTGGAGTCCAGAGAAAAAAGAAAGTCTATTTTCCTCTTGTCCTAGCTGCCTGCTGGTTGTGCTGATGAGCCTGGGTCTCTGCAGGCACAGCTGTGTCGGGGTGAGGAGGCTCTGGCCGGCCGGCTTGCAGCAGCTTCTCCGTAGCTTCCTGGGCACGGTGAGAAGCTGACAGCTAGGCCTCTTCTAGGCGATTCCTCCTCTTGCTTACAGTGTTGCTGTTGGCATAGTGTGACCTCAGTTTGTGTGTAGTTCTAAAGCAACTGGAAAGAAAGGGGGTGGTGGAAGGGTGCCAAGAGTGGGGGTGCAGGGGGCCGCTAGGGCTGCCAAACTGAAAGGTCCATGTTGTGGCGAGGCCTGCTTCTCTGTCTGACTTCCAGGATCTTCCACCAGCCCTCCTGGGGACACACCCAAGGTTTCAGCCTGGCAGTGCCTTCCTGTTGCCATTTTGGAAGAAAGATGAGCTTGCTCTGCTTGTCCTCCCTCCTAACTTTTGAGTATCTCCTGAAATAGACTGTCAGTTTTGTGCTTTTGGAACAGTAGGATCTCTTGAGGCCACAGCAGGCCTTGTATTTTGTGTTGGTTTTTTTTTTTCCCCCCCCTTAGTCTTCTTTTGGGGAGGTTTTATAAGACTACCGTGGTGTTCCCAGCATATATGGTGTGTGGTTAGACTTCTGATAGTATTAAACAGACGCCTGGGGCTAATCTGGCTCATGTTGGGGCCTGGGATAGTTACCGACCAGCAGCTACTTAAAGGAGGGATTTGATTTTCTCTACACAGGAGAGCCTGCAGGATTGGCTTATGATGTGGATTTGCCTCTGAAACTCTTTGTAGATTTCTTCTTTAGGAGGATTTTCCTGTCTGCCTTTCTCCTGAAATAATTTCTGGAACCATCCTGGCAGGTCAGACCTCAGTAATGCATATTCCGATCCTTCATACTGCTAGTTGGAATGTTTTTGGGTGTTTGGAAAAGATGAATGAAGTCGGCCGAGTTGGCTCTCAAAAGGTGTTCTCAGAAAACCTTCCCTGCACATCCTTGTGGGCTACTTTTGTCCTCAGGCCCTTCCTGGATAGCCTCAGCTCCTCCTGGTTGTCTGACTGGGGTGGCTGACCCTCTGATAAGATTGTTGCTGTGGCCAGGGTTTAGCATTGATAGGAAGGTAGCAGGAGGAAGGGCCTGGGCATGAGGGAATAGTCACTGTGAAGCATCATAGTAGCTGGAGAGCAGTCTCCCAAGATGCTTGGGACAAAGACCACATGGGGCCCAGGATAGAAGGGCCAGCACTTTGCCACAGAAGTCTCCTGTGCATTCGCTAACCAGTGTTGCTCCCTTTTTGGATTCTAGTGTGAGTGGCCTTGAACCTTGGCCCAGTGCTCTCTGCCAGGCCAGAGTCTGGGCTGTGCCAGATGCTGGCAGCTTTCTCACTGAGAAAACCCTTACTCCTGTGTGCTGGCACTGCATCCAACCACTGAGGGAGGGAAGAGACCAGGCACCCTGCACATGGGTTACTCATCACCATACCGGGTGAATCTCAGAACTGGAGTCGACCACAAATCCAGGTGCCTTATGTGTGGCTCTGTCCCACGTGCTGCTGGGAAAAGCTGCATTGCCCTCCTTCCCTCCTCATCTGTGGACAGACATCAGTACTGCCTCCTTGCCTGGTTTCTCCTCGTGACTTCTCTAGCATATTCATGTGTACATACTGAGCTTCAGAATCACCCCTTCTCTATGGGACAGTAGCCTAATCGGGAGATTTTCTACTATTTGTTATTTAATTATTATCTAGGATGTGGTTTCTGGAGCTGTCCAGAGCTCTGCTCAATAGAGTGTCTTGGAAATGTGTCCCAGGGCAGACCACGTCGTGTGGACTAGTAGGCTGTCTCTTCTCTGCAGTGTTAGCCTTTGCTGGGGGAGGGGGGGGGCTAGGCGTGCTGGCTTGAGTCATGCTTTGTCCTCCTCCCCATTAGCTTGCCTTAGTCTCACCGGACCATCTGGAGGCCGTGTGCTCCGTCTGTGCCCAGGAGCACAGGGGTATACCATTTGCTCCCGACGGTCTGTCTGGTGTTCTGTACCTGGGAGTCTGGATTCTTGTGTCTCACTACTCAGGAAATCTGGAGAAGCATCACCACTCTGGGGGGTGAACCAGAGTGAGTTTGGAATTCACGCTTTTGTACCTGACCTGGGGAAAGAATTGGAAGTCCTCCTTTCTCTGAAAGTAGCTGAAGCCGTCAAAAGTTGAATCGGGAGGCCATGTTAGTAAGGAATCGGGGCTGGTGATAGCAGTTGTCTTGGGGGTGCTGCTGGGGGAGGGGAAAAGTGACCTGCACGGGGACACCTTGCCTCCTGTTCAGAGCTGGCATCTGGGCGGCAGCTCCTGGAGGGACTCATGCCAGCAGCCTGGCAGGCCCACCTGGCACCACGGGGGCCAGATGCCTGCACCTCTTCCTCTGCCATCCTGCTCCTATCCCTCTGCCTTGGAATCTCCAGGAAGAGCATCTCTCTTTTCCTGTGGAGCCTTTGGGCTATGATGCCCTTCTTGCTTTTCCAAAGAAGATCCCTGTTGATTTCATTTTGTTCTAAAGAGCAAACAGAAGAAATAACCAATAAAAGTAGTTGTGGGCTAAAGTAGGCCACCCTGTCCTTATGTGTTTGCTCAGTGATCCTTTGCGGAGAAGGCAGTTTTCAGGGGCCTGCAGAACTCCCGGAAGACACGTCCAGCCATTGGGCCATCTGATTCTCCAGCAGGGGCAGTGATTTAGGGAAGGTGGGGCTCACCGTAGACTGGTGATTCTTGAAATGGCAGTGACGGGTAATCGTCGACCTATTTTTCCAGTTGAAGTGGAATTCATTTCTGGGATGGATTTAATAGGTTGTGTGTAATGGACAAGTTGGGGGAGTCTTGCCTTAGTGTGTCCTGCCACCCCCAGTAGGCTCCCAGGGTACTCTTTTTTTTTTTCCCCTCTGTCAAGTCACTTTCTTTTGGTGGCTCTTGTCACCACGATGGCAGTGAGATTTGAGGACTGGAGACAGTGTCCCCAGAACCACAGCATAGATTCCTTGCCAGGGCCCGAGGATTCCTGATGCAGAGGTGCTGCTGTACCTGCTGTAAGCGCCTGATCGTCGACTCATTTCCTCACATTCCATGTTACAGAACATCTTCGCCACAAAAAGGGTCTGGTGGAGGTGGATTTACCCCTTGTTTTACAAAGGATCGTGTAAAGTCATTGAAGTTGTGAAAGTCTATTTTTTCCCTGTAAATCTATTTTTCACAGAATATAAGAAACATCAATGACCTGATCTGTCCTTCCTCCTCTTTCCCCTTCACCTAAGATCCTCATTCCAGTTTGTATTGTCTTTGTGTCCAAAGTAAACTAGGTGACTTATTTGTACAAAATGTTATTTTGCCACAAGAGACAGTAATAAAAGATTTTCACAGTATGTGCGTCCTCTCTTGTCCCCTGATTGGGCCCTGTGGGTTGCTGCGGGGGAGCAGGTTTGGGGTGGGGGTGGACTCCAAGTTTCTTTAAATGACCTTCCTGTAAATAATGAGTGTTGCTGGTTTTTAGGATGATCAGGGAACAGTATTGGGCTCTAGGTTTAATATTTTTGCTTTGTTTTGCTGGGGGGGCTTTGTGAATTAAAAATGTATGTAGTATTTTAATGTTAGGGTTATTGAGGTATGCATTAACTGCAGTAGAATTCACCTGGTTTGAGATACAGCTGGATGAGCACGCAGCCTTATTGCCCCATCACAATCATGATACAGGGCTGTTGTATCACCCCGCAAAGTTCCCTCAAAGGCCAGTTCCCTTGAAACCATTGTCTGGTTTCTGTGTTTACTGGGAAATTGGTGTACTTTTAATATAAAACTAACACCGTTGTTTAAGGTAACAGTACAATTTTGAAGTAAGTCTGGCTTGGATGGTCTGTGGCAGCCGAAGCAGTCATTGGCCCGTGTCCACTCACTGATTTCCCCCTCTCCTGCTTCTTGCTTGCTTCTTTCACCCAGGACTGGCACCAGGTGGGGCAGTGGAAAGGTAAGGAAGGCCTCAGAGCATTAGCCGACCACAGTTCATTGGTTCGGGTCTAAAGTACTGTGGATTTAGAGGCTTTCTCTTAAATGAGAGGTAACATATTAAGGACTTTGCTGCATCTTTTCATTGATCTCGGGGAGGGAGAGCAAGGTCTTGGTGGAAGACAAATTTTGGCATGCGTGTCAGTGCTGGGGACAGGTGTCTGGCTGAGTTACAGAGGCGTAAAGAAGGACAGAGGGATGTGTGGGTGCCCGGGAGGGTGTGGAAGTCTGACTCATGCTTGTGCTGAAGGAAGACCCTTGTCAGGGCCCTGGAGTCGCCAGTTTCTTGGGGAGGGTCAAGGCGTCTCGATGATGCCAAGGACCAAATGCATGGCGTTGGGGGCAGTGCCCCCTGCTCCCAAATGGGCTCTGCCCCACGACTGGGGGTGAGACAGATGGGACTGCAGTGGAATAGGGATGACAGCTCCACCCCACCTGCACAACTTCTGGAGGAGAGATCCCCCTCCCAGGCAGCCCAATTCCCTGGGGCTGAATACTGAGCATCAGGGCAAGACAAGATCCTTGTGCCTCTCAGAGCTCACAGACTAGAGGGAGGAGTCGAGATGTCAGACGCTGAGTGCCAGGAATAAATAAAACACGCTGGGATGGAGAATGTGTGGTCAGGGCAGGCCTCAGTGAGAGTGAGACCTGAATGGAGGGAAGGAGCCTTCCAGGTGGAGGAACAAGGATTGCGAAGTCGAAGTCGTGGAGGCAGGAACAAGCCGGGGTATTGGAGCTGGCTAGTGCGGCTGGAGCAGAGACAGCGAGGGCACGGTGGGCGCGGGGCCGGAGAGCGCGTTCAGCGGTGCGGGGAGGGAGGCGGGGCCGGAACCTGCCCCCGGGGCGAAGGGGCGTGTCGGCCCGCCCTGGCTCCGCCCCCCGTGGCCCGGAACCGGTGCGCTCCCGCGGGAGGTCGGCGAGCAGGAGGTCGGCGAGCAAAAGCCCGGCGCCGCGTCCGCGTCCATGGCCGCCGCGCTGCTCGCCCGGGCCTGCGGCCTCAGCCGCGGAGGTGAGTGCGCTCCGGCTCTGCACAGCGGGGCGGCGGCGGCCCGGGCCGGCCGAGCGGGCTCGAGTCCCGTTGACCCGACTGCACCCTCACCGGGAGCGCGCGCGGCCTTTGCCCCACTTTGGGCCGCTGCTGGCGCCTGCGCGGCCTCGGTTCCCGCTCCGATCCGCGCCCGCCGCCCCGCCCTCGCGGTGGCATCCACACCGCCCCCCAACCCCCGCTCAGTTCCTCGCCGGCGGAGGTCCAGGGGCGCCCGTCCTCCCGAGCCAGGCCTGGGTCTGAACCCAGACTCTGCGTCTGTGACCTTGGGCGAGACGCTTGGCCCGTCCGCCGTATTTGGCCTGGGTGTAAAATGGTCCTAGCGATGTGTCCCTGTTCTCGTGGAGTTGTTACAAGGATCAGATCGCACGCAGGCTGGGTAAAACACTCAGCACAGCGCCTGTCAGATGGCTCTCAGTAACTGTTTGGGCTTGTTGATTATTTCATGCCGCACCTTTCCCAGCTTATTTCTCTCATGTGGCCAGGGCTTCCTTTGCCTGCAGGACAACTGTAAGGGGACCCCCGTGGAGGGCTCTGTCTGCCAGGCCCTGTGCTGGTGCTGCAGTCAGCATCTCTTTCACCCTCCCAGCCCCAGGAGTTCAATACTGCTGGCTACCAGGTTTTCTAGGCCCGGAGGCTCAGTGAAGAAGTTAAGATCCTTGCCTAAGGCGGCAAAGCTGTGGTCTTAGTACGATTGGTGTCGTCCTGAAGATCGACTGGGATAGTTGTGTAGCAAGTGGAAGAAGCATTCCGTTGGTGTGGGTTTCTCAACAGCTTGCTATTGACATTTTGGGCCGATAATTCTTTGTCGTGCTGTCTGTCCTGTACCTTGTAGCGTGTTAGGCAATATCCCTGGCTTCTACGCACTCCAGAGTAATAGCATTCCACCCTACAACTACCAGAAATGTTTCCAGACGTTGCCAGATATCTTCCGGGAGGCAAAATCATCCCTGGGGGAGGCCCACTGAGTCACTGGATGGCCACTATGATGATGATCATGCAGCAGGACCTCCTGCATTCCCCTCCCACTACTACCTGTTCTTCTTGCTTGCAGCTCTGCGTCCTCGGGCCTGGCGTCGGTTACATACTATCTACCAGTCTGTGGAGCTGCCAGAGACACACCGGATGCTGCGCCAGACGTGCCGGGAATTTGCTGAGAAGGAGTTGGTTCCCATTGCAGCCCAGCTGGACAAGGAACATCGCTTCCCAGCGGCCCAGGT